TCAGAATCTTAGTTGTGACAGCAATAGTAAAGAGACAGAAAGTGTGAGCAATCCATCTGTAGTGACTAGTCAATCAACTTCGTCGAATGAGCCTTCTAGTGTTTTGACGTCATCGGACCCTGCCGCGAATGTTAAGTTGATTGAAGATGCACAAGGTTGTGTAACTGTAAGTGTTCCTACTTTGGTTGACTGTCAGTCAAGTGATGATGAGAATGAAGCGTCTGATGGTAACAGCCAGTCTAAAGTGTTGCATGATAACGATGCTATTGACGTGCATATGTCGTGCGTCTCTGAAGCGGAACATGAAGAACAACAAGTGAGTTTATCGGTTTTGGATTGTGACACTATTGTTGTTCTTCATGTAGAGAGATGAGTTATACAACAATGGAAGAGTTTCACTCTACGGATGCTAGTGCAGCCAGAAACGACGCGACCTGTCTGACAGAACGGAATCATGATGACGATGATAATAATCTGGATGTCACTGATGTGGCAAATGAGTTACCGACGATGACGAATGCGGATCAAACCTCCTCTGTATCAGGAGATGGAGAGATAAATATTGGTCCTATGTTATGCCACTTAAAGTCTTCGGGAGACGAGGAGATGTCAAAATTGGAGATTCCACCCTTGCATATTATTTATGGGTCAAGAACTTCTGTTGATAAGTCAGCATCACGGACTTCATTGTATCTGCTGATCGGAGCAAGTGGTGGTGGATTGACGACTCATCCCCACGATATGGAATGTAGTTCCCGGATAGGATTTGACCAGCCTAACGACGTGTTGTACATGTTCATATGGGTTAATTCGATAAGGTTTATACTACCGTTAGGTCATGCTACGATAGATAGGGGAATCAAGGGCCTGATGGGAAGGTATAGGTACCTAGTTAGCTTGATAGGTCATATCCATGTTGGAGGGCGGGTAGGCGTACTGCTGTAAGTCCTACTCGTTCTTCCGGTGTGGATTAGGAGATGAGAGTGAACCCTAAATTGAAGTGTCAGAAAGGGCTTGGTTTTGCATGGAGGGATTTTGCGGGCCGGTGTAGAATATTTTTTGAATGTCTTGTTTTTTGGGAAAATCCCTCCATGTACATATATTTGTGTTATGATATGACTGACTCTTTCTGTCGACATTTTGGTACTACACTCGATTCCATTTTGAGATTTTATCATTGTATATTGTTATTATTTCTATATCTTGTACTTATATTGAAGTTTCCATGTTTGCTTCTGAACTACATATATGTTGTTTAAATTTGATATTTAATATGGCTACAGCCATATTTGGATTTGATACGGTAGCTGCTGGACTTAAAGTCACTTATTTATCTTTGTTTCGGATACTCTTCGGAGTAATTGTAACCTGGAAGGTGCATCAATTCCAGGTATTGCTTTGTATTTCCAGGTCATCCTCTTCATACTCTGGGGTAATGGATGATAATGGACCATGCCGATATCAGCATCTTCCAGCTGTAATATTTTGTTCTGGTCCTTCTGACCGACCAACTCATACACCTTTCACCAACTTGACCTATCATACTCCACCTATTCCGATGAATCTTCGAAACGATCCATTCTTATGCACTTTAGCGACTTTATCATCTGTTATTCGTGGATCATCGGTTAACTGTGAGCAACGATATCTACCATATTCTGTCTAACATGCTTCTATCACCACATCAATCTCTGAATACTTTTCTCCCACTAACTATATTGTTCAAAAATTGGCCGAGCATAGCTACAAAGCGTATATTTCCAATTCCTCTCCTTCTTAAAATCATGCAGCTAACAACTCACCAGAAGCCCATCATTCTCCCCTAAAAGATAGGCACTCGCACAATGTAACACTAATGCTAATTGATTCCCGTTCTGTAGTCGATAAGATGACCCACTTACTATCCATGTTAATGTTAAACTAACCCTCATTTGCCCTGGTCACAGAAATTTGGTTGTCCTCCGATATCTCAGACCCATAGACATTTATGAAATCCTTCGCAGTGACCCAGGTTCTAAAAGGTTGGTGATTGTCTCATCTTTGTATCTAGAAACATCAAAGCAAAAATGTTTAGTGATTCTGTCCTTAACAAAGTGCCCGGTTCGATGTGGATCACTGTGCACGTCTTTTAGTGCAAAATGCTGATTAGATGTATATGTGGAGCTTCAAAAACCCATCTGAGGGTTGACATTACTATTGATGGGTCATTTGCCAGGACTGCCTCTCTTAAATTATTTGTGGTGACTTCAACCTCGCTGCAATCAACTGGCAGACACATTCCGGTCCACTGCGCTTTGAAAGCATACTAAGTCCCGTAGACACTCATGGTTGGCAACAACGTGTGAACCTGCATACAAGAAACAACAACATTCTCCACTTGGTATTTCATCATGATGCCACACCACAACAGTGACCATCAAATAGTCCTCTGCACCTTAATGTTTCTTGTAAAATGAGACAAATCTCAAACAAGAACGCGTTCTCATTACAGAGACTATGAACACGCTCACTGAGGCGGCCCCCATTTTCTATTTCAGCTCTCCAAATGGACTACGTTCTTTACTAGCCTTGAACTCCCTGAGGAATTACATGTATTCACTGTCACCATTAAATCTGCACTAGACACTATTTCCCCCCCCCACAATGTCTTGCGAAACAATAACTCTTTATAACATCATTAAAACCGGGGCTAAGCTACGTAATCTAATGCGGGCATGCGTATGTGAATCGTTTGGCACGACGACCAGCAGCAGTGCCAGTGAACGACATGAGGGACGACACATGACTCATAACCATAGGTTTCTGAACTGGCCATACCAAGCATTTGTGGTGATAATATGTTACTTACTTACTTACTTACTTACGCCTGTTACCCCCAATGGAACATAGGCCGCTCACCACTTTTCTCCAACCAACTCTGTCCTGGGCTTCCCTCTCCAGTTCTGTCCACTGTTTGTTCATTCCTCTCATATCTTTCTCTATTTCTCGGCGTAATGTATTCTTTGGCCTTCCTCTTTTCCTTTTGCCTTGAGGGTTCCATGTGAGGGCTTGTCTAGTGACGCAGTTACATATTAAGATAATATGTTAGTATCGGTAAATTTTTAATTTTTAATATACCTACTATTAGAGAAAGACTCTCTGTGGCCGTAGACTGTATATGAGTTATAGCCAGTTATATGCAGTTTTGGCTTTAGTGGGATAACATAAATTATGCTTACTACCATATTAGTTCGGAAATGGAATTTGACATTCGAAATCTCTTTAGGTTATCATGTATTCTTCAAGGATTAGAGCATAAAACCAACAAGTATATGCTTGCAGCTGGAGGTTAGAATTTTTTGTCATATATACGGCATGAAGATCCACCTGGAGCCCCTCTGGCGCTGTTGCCGATCCTAAACACAGACAAAGGAGGGGGTTTGTGTATGAGGTTAGCGACCTCATCTCGTAGAAAACTAACTCGCTAAAAAACGCTAACCAGGAAACATGATTCAAGCCCCTTTAACTCTGCCCTGCGGGTTAGCTCTTCATTCAGGAGAGTTATGGTGCCTCATGATGAAAGCCGAGTTCCTTCGGCAGTCAAGAGTCCGATACCCCTTCTGATAACCAGAGTAACCATTCTTTCAGATACATGCAATGTCTATGACTTTTTCAAGTTCCAGCAGAAATGAAAAGACATAACATGGAATGAACCCACCCAACATCGAAGCAGCACCTACGGACCTCCCAATCGACGTTGGTCCACCAACAGTTTAAGAGAACAGTATGGCCATCAGGCAAATCAAGAGCGATAAAGCAGTGGAAACAGATAACATTTTCCGCAGAGGCACTGAAATTAGAAGTAGCAGTAATTGCAAAAATATTCCACCTTCTCTTCAACAGGATCCGACATAAAGAACAAGTACCAACAGACTGGAAAGAATGAAACCTCATCAGAATACAAAAGAAAGGTGACCTCAGCAAGTGTGAGAACTACAAAGGCATCACTCTTCTCTCAATACCAGGGGAAATATTGAACGGGGTATTGTTAAACAGAATGAAGGACATCTGTAAACAGTGGACAGCCATGAGGCAGCTGGACTATCTGAAGTTCTCAGATGATCTGGCTCTCCTATTGCACATACACCAACAAATGCCAGAATAGCAGCAGCCTAATCAACAGCAGGTCTCGACATAAACTGAGGGCAAGTCAGGATTCTCTGATATAACGCAACGTGCAAAAACCATATCGCTTTTGATACGGATGCCTTGGCGGACGTAAAAACTCTTACATATCAGGGCAGAATCACTGATCTGCTACGTAGTCTGATCCGAAGGCGAGCTACGAAGCCGGTTCATGGATATAATTTCAAACCTTATCAAAATCATCTCAAGTCAAAGGATGTTTACCCGTTTCAGTATATTCCGTTCAGAGGTGGCTAACTAACTCATGGCATTCCGAGCACTCACGACCATCCCCAAATGTTCTTACTTAAGCCCACTTCAGAGGAGAAATTTACGGAAACCAGAGGCCAAGTATAGCAAAAGGAATCGTAGGAACACTTTCTGCTGCTTAAGAGTGGTAAAATCGTGGAATTAGTTACTAACTAAGGTGACTCTAGTGACTTCCTTGAGTCCTTCCAGAAGAAACTTGAGATATATCATCATAGTTTAATAATATTTCATTCTAATTCGTTGTATATACCTAAGTTCCTACCTGGAAGCATCAGTGACTAATTTATACTAGATGAGGAAGCCCACCAAGAGAAATCTCCACTTTCCTGTGCACAACCATTTCAGCCACTTGATAATTTGGATATATTGGAGTTCACATCAACTGCCGACTGACTAGAATTAGACAGTCGAGTGGCTAGACCCCCATTCATTGGACACTGCCTAACACCTGAGACTGTACCGAAAGAACAAGAATCGAGTGCAAAGAAATCGATTGGTTTATACTAGCATGCGAAAAAGATATTGGATATTGGATTTGATATTAGATCCAAGGACAAATATAGAACCTGATTTAAAAATGAGCGCGAGTCCTGAGGGTGCTACTGCGTTACTCGTTGGGGCGGGGGGCATTGGGTGTGAGCTTTTGAAGAACCTAGTTTATAATGGGTTTAATGACATAACAATCGTATGGTTTTGCGTTTCGTCATTTTTGTGATTTGTTAGGTAGACCTTGATACTATCGATGTGAGCAATTTGAATAGACAATTCCTGTTCAATAAGAAACATGTAGGGCGTTCTAAAGCGGAGGTTTGTTTCTGATTTCAATACTATTTTTGAATCAGACTGCAAGAGAAAATGTCTTAACATTTAAGCCGACCGCTAATATTGTAGCTTATCACAAAAGTATATTCAGGTATTATCTGTTATCAAAATTCTTCATTCATAACCAGCTCATCGTTCGACTCTGAATTCTTCGGAAAGTTTGATATTGTTTTCAATGCTTTGGATAATCTTGGTAAGCAGTAGGTGTGTTTTCTTTTCTGCTTTTTTATGTTATTACTTTATGGATTTATTTGAGGGTTAATTTATCGAGTACTTTTTTCATACTACTCAATGAAAATGTAGTCATTCCTAATTTTTATAGATAGATAGTACAATTTACATAGGAAAATTTATATATATATATAATGGGTTTAGTAAAAAGAAATTATCTATGAAGCATGTGATATAATATCAATTTTGTTTTAATAAGACAAGTAATTCGACTCCGTATAGCAATTCCACTTGTTCTATTTTCTGTCTAAGTTATAAACGTTACTTAACTCGGTTTTAGTTCATTTCTAAATTTAATATACGTTAACCATTTTGTCAGTTTATACCGTTGTTATTTGTACTGTTGTCACTCAATTGTTCCTCTTTGATTGACTTTTTCTCTATGCTAATCGAAAATGATCAATTTAAAATAACTTGTACATATTCTAGGTTTGAGATGTATTGTTGACATCGTTTTGTTCAAAAACAATCTAGTAATATCTAAATGTAACTAGTTTATTCTCCAAGTATTTAAGAATTAACCATACTAATTGTGAAGATGAATGATACTACTCGTTTGCCCTGACTAAATTAGGTAGATTACTAGTTATCGAACATTAAACTTGGTAGCTGAAAGTCTAATACCCTAATCATTTAGGCATTACACATCAGTTAGTGATTTAATTAGAGTAAATTAGACAATCAGTGTAAGATTTTATACAAATGTGTTTTAACTCGTCTTTCTTTATCGAAAAGTGACAACGAATTGAGAAAAACAGCATCTAGTTTCACATCGATGTACTTGGTTTTAAGCTACATTTTAAAGGGGGGGGGGGCTTGTAATTGTATCTGGTTATCCATATTCAAGTTTGCTGTTTAAAGGTCAGACTAAAACCCAATTATACTAACTTCTAGTCATGGTATAAAGGAAGAAAAAACTAAGAATGGGGTATTCATTCAGCTGTAATGTAGAATTTCGTACGCACGTACATCAGTTCAAGTTGCCGTACAACATTAGTATTAGCAATAATATCCCAAGAATGGGATATGAAAATTCATTAATCAATTGTATTTTAAAGACAATCTCTGGGGAGTCATATGGATGTTATCTAAATCCAAGAATGAAACAATTATAATTTGCTACAACAGGTTATTAAAACTTAATGAAATTAGAAATCAAACTCTAAAACTACAAAATGAATTTTAATACACTCGAATTTGTAGTGCTTTAGATTTATTAAGCGTTTACCATTACGTCGGTTGGTGAAACAGTCAGTTCTAACTAATTTGTAGTGAAAGTCAATTTATAACGTGTATTTGCTTCAGCTTCTATGTCCTCTTAGTTACGGAAATTTTTGTATGCATATCATAAGTATGGACCATTTTTCTGTGAAATAAAGCCGCTTGTAATCACCAATCTCGACAATTCTCATACAGTCTTGCGTACTTTGTGTTATTCCCAATCCTGTCAGTTATGATTCCTAACAGATAGATGATATTACCAACTTTATTTTTACCTCTGATAACAACAAAGTTTTATCCCCACTCTACATGTTTTTGTTTAGGCAGTTGGTTAGTATCATTATCCTGTATATTTACAGACAAATACAACACAGAACTTCGTACATGAGTACATCAGTTCAGATTGCCATACTGCGTTAGCACAGGTGGGTGTAGGAAAGATTTGATTTCGACCAATTTGGTCTCGTGCTGTTACGGGTATGAGGGCGGTTGTCACTTCCCAGCTGCCCACACCGTGGAAGGTTGTTTCTTGAGGGACCTGAAAAGGAAGGTAGATTAGTGCTGGTCTTGGAGACCTGGGAGCGTGACCGCAGAGTCCAAGGGACAACTGCTTGATGCCGGTCACGCACGGCCTTTTTATGAAAGGTATTTTGAGGATTAGCTCCGTTCTTAAAGGCCCTTAGTGGGCACCCTTACCCAAGAAGACGGAAATCCGTGAGTTAGGGGAGGTGTGACATTTTTAGGGTCGACCTTTTCGAACCCGTTCTTTCCTTGTGAGAAGGCAGCATCGCTGCAGATGCTGCTTGTTGTCCGATGGAAACACCGTACTGCTGTCACACCCCTCCGCAGTCAGCAATACGACTTCGGCCTCAGACCTTGAGTAGCTGCTTTTAGTCTCATCGTTCTCCAATCGACCTGCCTAGCATGGTAGGACCTGCAGGAACATGTGTTCCAGCCAGTATAGCTCGATTGGGTCAT